TTGTAACGCACCCTGTACTTCCTGTTGTAACGCACCCTGTACTTCCTGTTGTAACGCACCCTGTACTTCCTGTTGTAACGCACCCTGTACTTCCTGTTGTAACGCACCCTGTACTTCCTGTTGTAACGCACCCTGTACTTCCTGTTGTAACACACCCTGTACTTCCCTGTACTTCCTGTTGTAACGCACCCTGTACTTCCTGTTGTAACACACCCTGTACTTCCCTGTACTTCCTGTTGTAACGCACCCTGTACTTCCTGTTGTGAACACTCCCTGTACTTTCTGTTGTAACGCACCCTGTACTTTCTGTTGCGAACACACCCTGTACTTCCTGTTGTAACGCACCCTGTACTTCCCTGTACTTCCTGTTGTAACGCACCCTGTACTTCCTGTTGTAACACACCCTGTACTTCCCTGTACTTCCTGTTGTAACGCACCCTGTACTTCCTGTTGTAACACACCCTGTACTTCCCTGTACTTCCTGTTGTAACGCACCCTGTACTTCCTGTTGTAACGCACCCTGTACTTCCTGTTGTAACACACCCTGTACTTCCCTGTACTTCCTGTTGTAACGCACCCTGTACTTCCTGTTGTGAACACACCCTGTACTTCCTGTTGTAACGCACCTTGTACTTCTCGTTGTGGGCGTGCTTGGTAACGTGCTCCTCGGCACAGATTGAGTCTCCATAGAAGGTTTTGCAGAGCAGACAGAAGAAGCCTCTGACGGGCAGCAGGAACTCAGAGCCTGAAACAAACACACACACACACACACACACTGTTTAACAAACGGCACAGAGCAGTAACCTGTCAATCATGTTTACCTGGCCACGCCCCCGCAGCAGAGCCTGTCAGAGAGGGGACATCTGGTCATGAGGTTTATATTAAATATTAAATATGTGAAAGAAGACAGGTGCGTTACATTCACAGAACACAGAAAAACGGGACATCAGAGTGTCGGAGTCCTCTGTGGAGACGAGTCCCGGAGACAGTTTTCATAAAGAGACAAAGAGCAGCCGATCCACCTGGAGACAAGAGACGCTAACAACATTCAGCGGCTCACCAGCGGCATCATGGGAGGAGAGCAGCGAGGTTTAATGTGGTGAGGGGTGGGGGGTACCTTTAGCGGGCTTGGTGAGCTTCTCCTCTGTCAGGAGGCTCTTGCTGGTGCCGGTGGTGCCGGTGCAGGACCAGGGCCGGTCGTACGGGTCCAGAGTCTGAGGGCAGAGAGACGGGGTTACACCTGCAGGGCTGCACAGGTGAGGGTATCAAACACACAGAGTCTGCTTCATGTTCAAACATTTGGGATGTTTCATTCATATTTTTAAGGAATATATATCGGATATCTTTTATGATCGTTGACACAAAATGTGCTTATTCATTTCAGGTATTTTCCAATTATATTTTTCTACTGATTTTATCTTTTGTTCAAATCTGTCCAAGTTTGTATAAATATTTATTCTGAAACATTTGAATAATTCTAGCCTCTGCAGACCGTTGACATGCACATAAACCTGTAGAGCCACAGGAGAGGCGACACCATGAGACCATGAGAAGAAGAATAAGGACTGTTTAGCAGATTAGTAACTTCACCAGTAATACATATAGAAAACAATACATGAACATGGAAGTGGACGAACCGACCTTCCGGTGCGTCTTGCTGTGAAGGTGCGTGTAAAAGTCGAACATAGATCCCGAAGTGACGTTACAGTTTTTGCACCAGTGGTTTCCAGCCTCGTAGTATT